TTTTCTTATTACAGTGATACAAATTATACAAGTCTAGTAATAGTTTTCCCCCCCCCCCCTTCATTTTCAGTAGCTGGAGTTGTAACAAAATGTAAAAGGTGACAGAGTACCAACTAGATAGAGCAGTAAGTGTAAACTCGATGTAAAGTAGTTTTGTAAAAGTAGATTAAGTAAACCCAGTTAAAACAACAGAAAAATACATAGCCAAGATATCTTGCAGTTTATCCTCTTTCTAAACCAGATTGCAGAAATCTAGTTTTTTGTGCCCCTGTGTAGGTTGGACTCCTCTGTTGAGCTCCCTATTCTAAGTTTGTCTTAGATATCCCGCTGAGGGAAACTTGATCTAATGCAGTGGTCCTCAAACTCTGGGACATGCCACCCAGGGGACACGAAGGAATGTTCAGGGGGACGTGCAGCAGGGCCTTGGCCAGCTAGGATTGCTAATTTTGGTTGGACATATTCCTGGAGGTTTCATCACATGACATAATCTTTAATGAAAGATTAATTTTTAATTCCTGGAGACTCCAGGGCAATCCTGGAGGGTTGGCACACCTAGTGGCTAGTTCCTTATTTTAAAGGAATGGGTACAATCTCATGACTAGCTGAAAATGAAAGACTGTATTTCTTTCCACAGTTACTGGCCATGCGTTAAGAAGCTATGGTGGGTCCTGCACTAAGATTGCACATTGTCTTGTGAATCTGATGATCAGAAGGCAGATTTTCTTAATAAAGAGAGGAGATTGATGTTCTGGCTAGCAATTTGGAGCACTCCTCTTTCTACCAGCATCATCTTTTTCTTGTCTGTGTACAGATTAAATGGGAATAGTTTAGTTACTGAGCATGAATATTTATATTTTAGTAGCTGAAGTATGTAAGTCAGCAACTGTACTTTTATTTTAAAAAGAAATAGCAGTGTTACATTAATCTGTGAGATTCTTCAGTATCCTTAAGATACTCAAGGTTTTTTTTAAAAAAAAGAAAAGCCTCACTGGTGCTCACACTGTTAATATAAAATTAGCAATGACATTCCAAGTGATTGCTAACACTCAGTGTGCATAACTTCAAAAAGGAAAACCCAATTCCCTCCTGAAACCAACAAGTAAACATGTCACTAATAAGATATATGCCTGTCCATCTTCCTCCTTACTTTTCTTGAATGTTGTTTCCCTTCAACTCTCCTTTCATCTGCTTTTGCCTTTTTAGGTTTCAAGTTCTTTCTTGGAATCATAGAATCGTACAACTGGAAGGGACCTCGAGAGGTCATCTAGTCCTCATGGCAGGACTAAGTATTATCTGACTATCCCTGACAGATGTTGGTCTAACCTGCTCTTAAAAATCTCCAATGATGGAGATTCCACAACCTCCCTAGGCAATTTATTCCAGTGCTTAACCACTCTGACAGTTAGGCTGGACATTAGGAAAAACTTTCTAAACCTCCTTGGCTGCAATTTAAACCCATTGCTTCTTGTTCTAAGGAGAACAAATTTTTCCCTCCTTGTAACAACCTTTTATGTACTTGAAAACTGCTTTGGAACAGTGCTTCTCTTCTAGTGCTTAGAAGATACTTAAAGCTTTTTGTGCAACTACCAAAATATTATAAACAATAATGAGGGTTTTCCATTATAATCCTGTGACTTAAGTAGATCAAAATACCATATTGCTTGTCTGTTAACAAAAAAAAAAATTAATCACAAAGAAATCTGCATTTTGCATATTGTACTGTTAATTATCTTTTGAAGATTTAAAAAAAATAATAAAAGCTTATATTAGCACATTTAAGTGTGAAAATCAAATGATTAAATGACTAGTGGATTATTAAAAAAACCCCAAATAAACAGAACTTGTGGTCAAAATTATCAATGTTGAATTAAAGTAGCCCTCATGCCAAGAATTCTTGTGAGCTGTGGGGCTGTGTTCACATATGCTCAGTGGTTAAAAACAGGAGGTGAAAGGTGAAAATGTTCTCCAGTTGACCAATGAGCCTGTTTCTTTCACTGCAGTTATTTCTCCTGTTGACAGATTAATAGGTGACTTTGCACGGCTTGGGACCCAGCCTAACCAGTAAGTCAATTTGCACTGTTGCAAATCTATTGCAACACAACAGACCATGTAAATGCTTCCCATGAAGAGTTTATGGTCTGAAATTATGGCGTTCTTGCCCGTGAGTAACTGGACTAAGATTGACCAAAGTGGAAGAACTCTGATACATTAACTGTCTTGGATGCCACCAACAATAATAGATTCTGAAGGCCAAATGAGATCAATTTGAAGACAATGGGGTTGCATTGGTGTAGCTGAAAGCTTTGTTTGGCTTCCAGCATCTTCATTACTGGTAGCATTGCATGAGAAGTATAGAACACAGTTTGATTCTGAGCCCAGGATTAGTTTGCTGAGTTTGCAGTTAGAAGAATCATCTTTTTATTTCTAGAGTAAACAAATTTGATGCAAAATCATCGAGACACAATAAACGCAGAACCCCACTGTGCCATTGTTAGGTTCACTTTTCAGAGAAGAGCCACCCGTTGTTTAGAATATCTTGAGCTTCAGCTAAATGGAGATAGCCAGACAATGTTTCCTTCAGTTTAAAAGTCCATTTTTCATTTGATGAGCAATGGCAGCATCAATGAAGAGAGTAATTAGTAAAATGCCTTTCTTTCTTCATTTACATTTAAACAAACTAATCTCTGATTTGAGGTTCCTGGACTTGTTGTCATTGGAGGAGTTAATGTTTCATGTCTTTTGCTTTCTGAAGTTCTGAAACAGAGTAGCATAACATGGAATTTTTGTCTGAACTTCCCCACCCAACTAAAGATACTTTAAGAGTTGAATTCATAGCTTGTTTTCTGTGTTGCTTTATCCTGTATTATGCATGCAGAAAGGATAACTATCCTACATATTTCAGAGTGTCTTTATCCTACATATGTGTATATATAGTGCATCTTTGTTTGGAAATGTGTGGCATAAAAATGTCGATGGGTTATGGTATTCTGTTCAATAGAAAATCAGCTTATAGATGAATTACAGTAAAATGAGCGGGCAGATTGGTTGATAAACTGAAATTCCCCTGTAAAGATGACAATGACGTCTTGTCATTCAATAAGCTGTTTGTAGGACAGCAGCAGAGGGGGAAGGGAATGGGACTGATCATCATTCCTGTCCTTGGGCAAGCTATCAACTACTATCTATCTTGTTCTGCCTTTAACCAGTGTTGTATTACATCCATTTTTTTAGAATAATGCTGACACAACTAGCTGTGTATTTTCCAATTTAAAATCTCACACCCACACCCCCAGCTCTTGCCATGCTGCTCATATGCTGGGATCTTGTCCTATGACTGAGCTCAAGAGCTCTCAAAACCCTATATCCAAACACGATTTGCATCTGCACTGACTATGGTTTCAAGCTGTGTTTCAACAGCATTCAGAAAATGTGCTAAGATTTTGCAAAGGGGAAGACTATAAGATGTCTTCAGCTAGTATGATTACTAAAAAACAAAACAAAAAACCCACCACTTTATCTTTACTAAAGCATGTAGTGGTCCTAGTAGCAACTGTTAGAATGCTTCTCAAACGTGGTTTTGTAGAATTGACCAGAAATACACCGAACCATTTCCAAACCGTTTTAGCTATTTGTTTGTTTGAGTAAATGAAATAAACCACACCAAGCTTCCATATACTTTTATGTATTTTTAAACTTCTACAAAGCTAATTTCCTCAGATGCTAACAGAGGCTTTAAATTCATATATTTAATCTGATTTATTTTGGTTGCCTCTTACCCATCTCAGTGGTTCTGCTTGTGTCCCTAAATTGACTTTAGTGTCTACGTTTGCCTGATGGTTTGCTGTTCCTCATACTACTTAATTAAAATATTCTCTAGTCAGTGTAGCTATTAAAATGAAAACTAATGCTCTTCTCAGTCTGAAGAACCCATTCTGACTCTCCTGCTTTTACTTTCTTTGATTGCTGCAATTCTGGCCATTGCTGTTCTTAGTGGCGCTCCCCTCCCCCTTTTTCGTTGTTCCTGTGGTCATGAATTGACATTGACTGAGGACCGTGCAAAACATGATCAGGTTTTTTCAAATGTAACAGAGTTTCCATAACTTGCCAGAGAGATGCCAATGAGTATTTATTGGGTCTAATTTTTTAAATTGAAATGAAGCCATAATTGTCTCCAAACAATGTTCAATCCTTTGCTCCAAGCTAATGTGATACATAAAGAAAAGGCTATAGATCTTTAGCCCTACCTGGTAAGGCAGAGGTCTCCAACCTGGGGAGTACAGGGAAGAGAAACTACCTGACAGGTGGAAAAATTGTATGACTCTAGAATGGGGTGGGCAAACTTTTTGGCCAGAGGGCCACATCGGGGTTCCAAAACTGTATGGAGGGCCGGGTAGGGAAGGCTGTACCTCCCCAAACCCTAACCCTATCCGCCCCCTCCCACTTCCTGCCCCCTGACTGCCCCCCTTAGAACCCATGACCCATCCAACCCCCCCTACTCCTTGTCCACTGACCATCCCCTCCTGGGACCCCCTGCCCCAACCACCCCCCCCCCCGGGACCCCACCCCATATCCAACCCCCCATGCTCCCTGACTGCCCTGACCCCTATCCAGGCCCCCCGGGACCTCACCCTCTATCCAATCCCCCCCAAGTCCCTTTCAGAATGTGGCCCTGCGAACATGGGCGGAGGACTCAGGAAGAGCATGGGCAGCCAGGCAGCTGGAGAGAAGCAGCAGTTTCCCCTTCAAAGTGCTGCTTGTCTCCTGTAGGCTGGGCGGCCACCCAGTGCTCCTCCTGAGTCCTCCGGCCGTGCTCCCGCCACCTGCACCGCCTGCCTGCTCTCCTGAGGCTGCAGGTGAGCCTCCCTTGCTGCTCTCCCCTACCCCTGCAGTGCAGCCCACTCCCGTGCTGGCAGCACGGCGAGCTGAGGCTGCGGGGGAGGGGGGACAGCAGAGAAGGGGTGGGGACTAGCCTTCCCGTTTGGGAGCTCAGGGGCTGGGCAGGACAGTCCCTTGGGCCGGACGTGGCCTGTGGGCCGTAGTTTACCCACCTCTGCTCTAGAATGTACTATTCCCTTGCCATAATTAATGTTCTCTTGAGGCTGAAAGTGAAGCTGGAGTGCTTCTTGAAAGCAACCTGCCTTCCTTCCCTGTTTCCACTGTGGTTCATAATGATGCTAGCTACAGGGCTTTTGGTACAGACAGCAACAGGTGGTTCAGACCTCACTTTTCACTGCTCCTGTGATAATCCACTAAATAGCAAGAGCATAACTAACCTGGACATGTGGAACCACCAACAGATGCCTCCATTCTAAGCAGCATATAGCTTCCTGCTGAATGGGGAACAGGAAGGGGGAACTACAAAACGGGGGAGCAAAACTGAGGAATAGTTAGAATTGGCAAAGGAAAAAATTATAGAAGAGAAAGGACCAAGGCACTTGAGAATGAGAGTAAATGGACTCAAAGAAAGTGGAAAGTGTTCCAAATAAGACATGAATAGACATAGGTGGAAGCAGGTGTGCGTGTCTATCTGCCAGCTCATTAGAAAGGGGAGCTCCATCAGAAGAATATTGGGAAACACTGCTATAAGTACTGTACTTCTGGGTTGCTGGAGTTTCATGACTCTTCTGACTCTCCTTACGTGATTTTCTGTCCTTGATCAGAATGAGGAGTTTGTGTTTCTAAGCTCCTTTTGAATGCACCACCCTCTTCTTAGAAGTAAACTGAAAAAGGAAGGAAAATTTGAGGTTGTGCTTTTCTTTGCTGTTTTATGGTGGTGGGAAAAAAAGACTGAATGGTTTTACCAACAACAATAACAACAACAAAAATTTCTTGGTTTTGCTTTAAAAATACAGAAATGTCCAGTTCCCTAGTCAGAATTAAATATTTTTTTAAACTTCTGCATTCCCTGATCAGAATAGCAAAATTGTGTGATATGAGAAGAGCTGACAGAGTGAAATCTCCTCAAGAAACTGAAAATTAACCAGTCATGGAAGGAGAAAGAGGTCTTAGCTGGATTTAAAAAAAAAATCAGACTTGTCTTAATTGTGGTCACAAATATGACACTAAGTTTTGACAAGGGCAGCTTAATTTACTTTTCCATCAATAATCCATGTTACTCTTCCTTGCTAAAGTTTTAGTGGTGTCACTCTTAAGGCAAAGCAGGCTCTCCTTACAGGTGACCTGTGAGATCTTAAATAAACTGTTGTGAAATGTGGGGAGCTCTTCCCCTTTTGATTGAAATAAACATAGAATATATTATGTATGTTAAGACACATTATTTAAACTCCTCTAACTTGTGAACTCAGGGGTAAGGCAGATTTCTTTTGCCTGTCCTGCTAGAACCACTAAATACACTAAATCACAATATGTGACTTTGGAAAGGGGAAAATAAAACTTCTTCCTAATGATCAGACACTGGGCCAGATTCTGCAGCTTTGGCGGTGCAAAGGGGTTGTAAAGCTGCCCTAACTAGATGGCTGAAGATTCCTTCAGCATGTCCCAGTCATGTCCTCTTGAAAATCACTAGTCTGCATAGTTTAAGAAAGCCTGAAGCTGCTGTGAACCGTGGCCTGGACTGAACTGGCTCCTCAGGAGCCCCTGGGGTTAGGGGAGAGTGAAGATGGTATATAGCTAGACTTGGAAGCATTAGGTTTTTATCAGTTAAGGTCAGTAAACACTGATTTCACCCTTCACACGCACACAAACCAATGAAAAAATATTTCCACCACTAATAATTGGAATTTACAGGTAGATAAAGTAAGAAAAATGCTGCTTGAGAACTTATTCGAGTTTGATTTAAGGATATTTACTTGGTATGTTGTGACATGTGCAGCTGACAATTTATGTTTTAATAGTTATAAACTTTAACTTTTTGGGGATCTGTGTGTCTACTGTCATTAAATAATTGTCTGACCACCTCCATAATTTCTCACAACTGTGAAAATTTGAATCAATAAAAATAAAAAAATCTTAAACATTTATATTTTCTGTCAAAATAATAACATATAAACCAAACTCTGCTAAGCCTATATATAGCCCTCTCTTAGCTGCACTGAGCAGAACTCTGGTGTAGTCGAGGATCTAGTTCATCAGGTGCATTTTTCTGAAGAAATTACAAAGTTACAAATGAAGGAAAATGTCTAAATAGCTGCCCTGTTTTTCTTTCCTTGCTATATACCTGCAAGACATTTCTGTTTATGGTATACTTCGGTTTGTGTGTATGGTGAATGTTCAACCCAGGAAAGGACAGATCTGGGAAAAGCAACATTTGGGAAGGTACTGGGAACACAAATGTTGGTGCCTAGATATTCAGAATATGTCTACATACAGTAATTAAACACCCACAGCTGGCCTGTGTATGCTGTTTTGGGCTTGGGCTACGGGGCAGTTTAATTGCAGTGTAGATGCTCGGGTTGGAGCCTGGGCTCTGGGATCCTCCCCTGGGCTCCAGCCTGAGCTCGAACATCTACACTCAATTAAACAGCCCTTTAGTCCAAGCCCGGTGAGGCCGAGTCAGCTGGCACAGGCCAACCACAGGTGCTTTGGGCATTTCTGCACTGCTATTAAAGTGACTGGTGAACTATAAATGCCCAGATATGAACAGTATCATGCACTGTGAGTATGATCTGCCGATGGGAGTTTTTTCTGACAACACAAAGCTTTTATTTGATGATTAAAATCATACTGAAGAATAGGGGGGTGAAATTCTCTGAATCCTAGAACTTTCTTCCATTTGCTGTTTTTCTGCTCTCTCAATGAAGGTGTTGAATCATACCTGACTACAGTAAGAAACCGGAAAGCAGGAGACTTTCTTGTCTTCTGATGTACTCATGGTCCTCTTGTTTTTCTGTCTCCTAAGGTGATGAGGACAAAGATGGGAAATGCTGAATGTAAACTTGTTTGTAAAATATTCCTTGCTTATAAATGAATCTGGACAACTTTTAAGCCCATGAACTCCCTTTTCTGGCCTGCCTGGGCAGGATCCAACTTTCTCTCCTTCCTCTAGTCTAGTCAATAGCGCTTTAGTGGTTGCTGTGCTTGCAGCTCTTGGAGAGTACCCACAGCCACTGCACCATCAGGAGTACTGAGATTTTGGAGATGACCTGAGAAATCACACAAGAGCCTGAGCCTCTGGCCAGTGCTTGATTGTAGGCACGTATGCATTAGATGTATCTTGTCTCCTTGGGCAGTGTCTGTGACACTCTTGCCATTGGCTTGTTTCTTTCATAGTGAATTAATTTACTCATCTGTTCCAGAGAGTAACATGTTTTTTACAAAACACAGGACTCTACATTTTTCAATCTGGATTCTGTTTTTCAGATTTTCTTCTTTATTACTCATAAACCTGGCCACTTTAAAGTAAACACAGCCGCTATCTTTCTGTTGTACATGCCAAAAAACACAAGATTTTTTTTAAAGGGAATTGGTGGTGGTGGGTTGGATATCTTTACAGTCCCATTCCATTGTTGATTCAGAATGGAACTGCTGGAGCAATTCACAATGTTTGCCTTCTGTAGTTATCAGCGACGTACATTGGCTGATGAAAGAGCTCTAGCTCAAAGCAAAGGTTCTGTAGTGGGACGGACAATTTTATTGGTCTGCCAAGCCAAATTATCCTTTTATACTACCAGCAAAGTCTTTTTGATTGTCGCTGTTGTAACATTAGCCCAAGGGTCTGTCAATATTTCCATTATAAACCCCCTATTTTCAGGGGCTTATGAATAGACTATTAAAAAAAAAAAAAACCTTGCTCTGGTCTGAAACTTGGCATATGAGATCTGAGTTCAGCAGCAGATATTTTCTTTAACAAATTTAAAATAGTCAGCTGTTTCTTAAGCTGTAGAGAGGGCAAAAAAATGTCTTTGGTTAAACAGATAGGAATATTTTTTCCAACCCACTTATTCCAATTAAATTTATAAAAGCAAAACTCTACTCCCTATTAGAGGGGGAGAAAGGCATGTTCCATTCGCCACAAGAGTTTGCCTCAAAACTTTCCCTTTCTTCACTTTGGTTTAAGATTGACTAAATCCCACCCACCTTCTCTCTTCTTTCCTCCTCCCCTATGCATATTTCCCTTCAGTATATTTACATTATTGCTACTCTAAATTAGAGCTTTCTTTCCTTTACTCCAGCTGATCCATGTAACATCGCTTTTGCCTTGCTGTCTGAGGTTTGCAACACCCAATTCTTATGAATCTGTCTTTGCCTCTCTAAAGGAATTTTGAGATACTTTGTTTGACAAGCTATGTATGGTAAATATACACTGAACAGATTTATTCAGGAATTGCAATTCTGCATTAAATGTTGCTTTAAGCTATCACTTGATTTACCCAACTTCTTAGGTCCTGAACATAAGAAGGATGACTGCTAATTTAGATTTTTATTTTATTTTATTTTTGTTGCTAAGACTTCATGCTGCATGAATGTGTGGCTTTAAACTAAGGTAATTTCACATTCCCTTATTAACCACTGTTGTTGCAAAGTGAAAAAGTGAATTACGATTGGCTCAGAACCCCATTGTGGGTTTTCAAGACTTTTTTTTAGTCATTTCCTGAATGTTTGGTGCAGAAACGTGAAAGCGCAGGAAATGACAACTGACTTCGCAGAGCTGAATTCATCTTCAGAAGCCAAACAATTTGCTGTAGGTGAGGGTTCCTGTGTGCTGAAGACTCTACTGAGATGCAGAAATATGGAGTAATAAGTGATGGTGTGAAACTCTATATCTAAATGATACCCGATTGATTCCAGTTCATCAGGAAGAACATCTGCTGTCATTCGTAGCCACACTACTGAAAAAAGCAGCTCAAGCATTAAAATGCTTTTGAGTACTCCTGACGAATGTGAACTGTAGCTGTATGATTGGTAAAGCACAAGGAAGTGTAAGTTAAAGAAACTGAAAGTCGAATGGTGGAAAATGAGTGCGTTTAAAAAGCAGTACCGTCCCTCCGCTGCAGCCTTTAGAAGATCGTTGTCAGAACAGGGGAGTGGAAGTACAAAAGTTGCAGCTAATTTGAAGGACTATCAATGGTACTACCAAATGAAGAGTAAGAGGACACATGAACAAGCTATTTCAGATCTAGGGAAGTCACTTGGTGCATACAGGTGGCAGACGCATCCCAGGTTTCACTGGAAGGGGAGCAAGAGAGAGTTGTCTCACAGTCTTAAATGGAAACATAATCAGCTAAGTCCTATTGAATGCCCTTTGAGGATGGACAATAGTGGTGTTGATGCTCTCCAGGAAGACCCAGCAAGAAAGATGAGCCAGGCAGATAGTATACCATTTCGAGTTCCATTCAGCAGGTCTATGTCTGAGCCTGCACCACACTGGAGAAATAGAAGTGTAAAGCCATTTCTGCAACCAGTGCGCTCAGTAGATTGTGAGCAACAGGGATATTTCATCCATGGTATCTTCTCTACACTTTCAAATGGCTTTTCTAAGATGTTGACCCGAAAAGGGGAGCCCAGCACTGAGCCAGTGAATGAATGGGGGACAGACTGTAATCAGATTGATTTGAATACAGGTAACAATGAATTGTTTTGTTCTCCATGTAGCTGGTTAACAGGTGAGCATAGTTACTTGCTCCTTGGAGAGATTTTTAGTTATTTAAAACTATTTGTAACTTCATACTGATTTTACTGGTGGCTAGTAATATGGGGAAGCTGATAGCATCTACATTAAATTGAGTGCTTCCTGATGTGTCCTTTAAATAGAGCAGTTTATGCTACTGTGGCCTTCTGAAATGTTTCCTTTCCTCCACTGTTGTCCTTGCCTTAACAGTGAACCCACTAAATGCAATTCTTTAAATGAAAGTGGGGTGGTGTTTAGGACTTTCCAAACAATTTTGCACCCGCTTAAAAATTTGAAAGGCTTTTTAACATGTCTTTTGGTGGTTTTAGGAACTAATAGCTCTCTGGAATGAATTGGATATATGGAGTGTACTGTTTTGAGGGCAAACTCTGAGGACTTGTAGTACCTTGATATATAAAACCTGCTACTGTCAAACTGGAGTGTGGAGGAAAGTAAAGCTGTCTTTAAACGGTGTACCAGGAGTGAAACTGATTGATTTAATTGTGCCAGATTCACAGTTTTGTAACCAGTCAGCTAAATTAATGTACGTTGTGTATTAGATGCCAAGAACAATAACGTTTGTAAAGATTTAGCTAGCTGGGAATGAGGTCAGCAAGCTTCTTGATGCCAGTCTGTGAGATTTCATTTAAATCTACCCCGTTGAGTATAATGCTTTTAAAGCGAAAGAGAAAAGGGGAGAGAAATTTGCCTCCTGTTGTCACTCTTGGTTTTTCATTTGACTTCCTAGTACTAGCAGATCTGATGCAAGTAGCTGATGCAGCTATGAAAGTGCGTTTAAACTCTTACTTGTAAAAACTCATAACGTTTTTCAAAATCCTCCAGATTATCGTGCTAAACCCCCGATTAATGTCTGGATCCATCTTAGATCATTGGACAAACCCTCTGTATTCCGAAAGCCTCCGTTTTATTATTAGAATGTACTCTGCTGACCTGGGCACTTACGATCTCTTAATTACAGTGGAGTGGTCTTGTATTTTATACACTGCATTTTTTATTGGAGTCAGTCACATCTCCTTGAGGAGATCCTACTAGTGTGGAATGTGGGTGCTGATCCTTGTTTACATTGCTGTAGGCAGCTCTAGTGCCTACCTGGTTGCTAGGATTTTTGTGCCCTGACGAAACCCTCTTACTAGTAGCCCCTCTTCTCTCTTCTCCAGTCATCTGCTAATTCAGGGTGAGACAAGAAGTCCAATTGCAGATTACTGCGATAGTGGGGGGAACCAGTGGGTTAGAGTAGTGAATGGGGTGCTGCAGAGTGGGCCAGGTCCGTTTTCTGGTAGGCCTTGTCTGCCCCACTGAACATACATCTTCAATTGGGGCAGAAAGGGAGGCCCCACAAGAAGTGCTGCTGCTCAGGCTGATGCTGGGCAGGTAGTCCCTACCACATAGGAGGCTCTGGGGGTCAAGATTCTGACTTGGGTGAGAGCATAGAGGGGTGTAGGGGCTCAAGATAAGACATTCTTCAATAAACCCTTGAGCATTGTTATGGGAACTGATTTGGATAAGCAAGGCAAAAACCTGGGAACCGACATGAGCAAAGGGACTCAAGAGAGAAGATAGTTGTTGGGGAACTGTTCAGAGACACCAGACTAAGACAGACACCCGCTGGGATGTTTGAAGAAGCTAGGCCTGACTAGGTCCTCATTTAGGGTGACCAGACGTCCCGATTTTATCGGGACTGTCCCGATATTTCCTTGTTTGTCCCGCGTCCCGACCGACATGCGGTTGGGACACTGGACAAACAAGGAAATGCCCCGGAGCCTAGAGCCCGGAAGTGCTC